AAAACATAACATTTAATAAAAAAGAGCCTTTTTGTTTTAAAAAGACTACCTATACAACCGTTATAAATTACTTGTGCTATGGCAGCTGTGTTTTTTTTATGATTTTAGAGAAAATGGAAAAAAAAAAGGACACTTGTGTTTAACATCAAGATGAGACAGTCAAATTTTTAGGGTGCATAATGAAGAAAGAGGATTTGGAAAATTTGATCCCTCACAGGGCAGTTTGAAAGCAAGAAATAGAAGAAACAATGCATAACCTACCTAAAAGCTTGAGTAAAAGGTTGACAGGGAAAAGTTTTATAGAGATAAAAAAATGATAAGTTTTTTTTAAGACCTACAAAGGAAAGGAAATTGTGAAAAGCCATAATCATCACTGTCCTGAGGGGGACACAGCACATAGAATAAATAAGAAGCCAGGTAAATAAAATGCCAGGGTATCAAATGCTGGTTTCAAGGCAAACAGGCAGGCCAACATATGAAACATCAATATATCATAATCTTCATATACCTTAATCGGCCTTGTGCCAGACTAAGTAAGGTTTTGTAAAAGCAAGCAAATTTTATGGAATTAAAATTTTTACATAAAAAAATGAGATATTCTCTTAAATACTACACAAGAACAGAGAATAAAATAGAAATTATTATTGAACAAGAGAAATGAATAGAGATTATTTTCAATCAAAAAAAAAATCTATCCATTATGGAAAGCTGGATGTTATAATTGAATAAATACTGCACCATTTGCAGTTACAAACAGAAAAATCAAATTTACTTCCTCCATCAAAGTACAGATAAAAACATTTTTTTTTTTTTGCAAACAAGAACTAAAATACAAAAGCCTATAAACTTTTTGTGCGTGTATTTGCATGTACCACCATTAGCTAACCCAAAATTTCATAGATTGATGTAAATTTAAATTTATACTTTATGATAAAAACAAAAATGACAGACAACACATTTAACAAGCATAATACTGAATAAGAGGAAAGACATTTTTTTTTGTAAAAGTTCATTATGGAATGATCTAGTACAGAATAATGTCAAAATGAAAACAAATGTTGAATCAAGCAGCTTTTAATTCATATATTTTTCTATTTGCTAATGATACCAATATCAAAAGGTGCTTGGATTATGGCTGATGACTGAATAAAAGTGACAACCTCTTCATAAGAGTCATTGGAAAGAACAATTTTAGTGTACTACCCATAGTTATTCCAGTAAAAAAAAAAAAAGAACTGAATTGCAAGCCACAAGGAAATGCTTTTCATTATGAAAGCAGATATTTACAATATTTACATTGTTCAAACTGTTGTCTTAATGTTTGTTGTCATTCACAATGTTTCAGCCATTGTACACTCTTTTGTTGAAACACATGGCCCAGTGGATAAAAGCATTGGTTGATTGATCCTAAAAAGTGACTTGACCCAAAGGTTGTGAGTTCAATCCCTCAGTTGTAGTTCTCAGAAAAGAACTACAACTTGAAGGTGGAGAAAACAAAAATTTATCAAGGTGAATTAACTAAAAGTGAGATATCCAAAGGCATGGTATGTGGAATTAGAACAATCTACCTCATGTGGACTAAATAAAGGGTTTTGTTCAAAAATTCCATGCAAATACCACCCTGAAGGAGGTCAGAGCATACAATGACTGAAGCGTTGTGAATGTGACAATAAAGATGAGGACAACAGTCCAAATAGTGTAAATCGTCTAAAATATAGAGATGAAAGCAGATGTTACAAAAAAAAAAGAAAAAAAAAAATCAGCTCCATTTTTGCCAAACTGAAAAGAAACAGTTGCTTAATTTTAATAATATTACAAAAAAAATACGTTCCGGTTAGAATAAGCTAATAGAAAAAATATAATTTGTTTTCAAAAATGTTTTTCAACTATGTTAAAAGCAGATTTTTTTGAAATTCTGTCTCTACAGAGATTTATAAAATCTCTAGAGATATACTTATAAAGAACTTACAGTGAAAACCAATATATAATAATGTCTATCTTTCTGTTTACTTGTTTTTTTTGAATATGAAGTAGCTAACAGACAACTACAAGAAAATTTTAAAAAAATAAAAAAATAATGAAAAATAGTTTTTCCATTTGAAAACTTTTTTTTATCGACAATTTATTGCAAAGCTTCAATCAGAACTCATCTGAAAATAAATCAGACAAAACAAAAAAGTAATAAAGAAGAGTAATAATCAAAAATATTTGCCATTCTAGAGACAGACAACAGACATTAGAATTTTAGACATCAATGTTGGATTTTTTTTTTTTGGTTCTGAGGTTTGTTATTTTTATTATCAAGACAACTAGTGGCTTGGAACATAACACAAAGGAACAAATTGCCAGTTCAATTTTTGCACCAAGTCAGAGAATCCATATTATTAAACAGGAGCAGATTATCTATCCATCAGACGCTGGGGGGGGCTAATGCTTATGAATAGATATGCATTTATTGTGAGTGATTTACATGTGCTTGTGCTATTTAACACAACACACATACAATATGACCAAGTTTGAAATAAGACATTGGAATAATACATTTCCTTCATACTCAGTCTGGACAATCCCTACCCTGAGATGAATAAAAAAAAATCCAAATTGAAGGGAAAAAAAAAAATCAGATTTTTTTTGCAGATTATTTGGTAATAAATATCATTTAAAGCATTTTTTTAATTTTGTAAATATCCATGCATGCACAGGTGGAAAATAGTTACAACACCTCATTTTCGGAAATATAGACAAACAATTTAATGAAATTAAAATGAAGATCTCTGTCAAGAGGGCTAATCACTGGGTAACAGGAAAAAAATATCGTTCTTTAAAATCAGTTTTAGAACTCCTTCTGTATTTAAACTGAATATATTTTTTCTAATAAATGTAGTATTTTAAATAATAGATTGTAAACAATTTAGATTTGAAATGTGATCATCTTTGTCAGAAAAAAAAGAATCAAACTAGTACAATGGGTGAACCAAATAAGGATCAAAAAACTCAATTTATTATGTAATTTTAATACAAAAATAGTTATCAAGAACATTCTTCGAAATAATGAATATTTGATCAAGACATAAGTAGTAAATATTTTCATTTTTTTTTTTTTTTTAGTGGATGAAGCATTATGAACTACTATGGTGGAGTAATGGATAGCGGTTCAGATTGAGGAATTGGAGGCGGAAGTTCAATTTCCAGTCAAATCCATTACATTCTCTTATGTGCTAAATACCCTTAGGAAAGGTATGAATCCTCTTCTCTCCCCATCTATGAATAAATAGCAGAATAGACTGGGTTCTATAGCCTTTTGGATGACAACTTTTGTTGAAACTGCAGAAAAAAAAGGCAACCTAACACATGGATAAAATCTGCTTCATCAGTTATGTAAAAAAAAGATACAAAGATTAGCGTGTGTATCACACACGGCACTATAACTCACTGACTCTAGTGTACCCATGCCATCAAAAATGATATATTGTTAGAAAAGTTTTAATAGTCAGGTACAATAAAACAAGTCTTTGAACAATATATTGAGATTCAATAAAGTGGAGATAAAGGTTTAACAATACAAAGCCAATAAACCATTTAATTTATCCCTTCTTTTTTTACATTTTTGACGTTCAATGGTGTATATGATTCATTGGTTATTCCTGGTATTATATAAAATCAATTTTTTGCTTAATATCTTTTCATGTTAAGAATTCTGTGTGTTTAATATAACAGTGAAATGGAAATATCTCTTGATTAAAAAGATTAGCAACAGAATGACAAAAAAACAGTAACAACAAAAGACTATTTTAAGATAAGTTGAAACAAGATGATCACTTAATATATAAATTTATCTGGGCACCTCATTTGAAAGGCTTGAACAAATAAGACTGCAATCTAAAAAAAATTGTGGAGTAAAAGAAAACAGCTCATTTTACTCAAACTAATTTTGTCTAAATGCAGATAAATATTTTATTTGTACATTTTATTAAAATGACTTTTAAGTATTACGAAAGGACGAATAAATTTACTAAATCACAAAATTGGCAACTCCTTCCAATTTGACATAACAAACAATATTTATATAATTGATAAAATATATAAAAAGGTCATTGTTGAGTTAAAGCTTCCAAACAATCGGTTCATTTAAATTTTAATAATTCGATAAAATCCTAGATTGTTTTAAAAAAAAATCTCATTTTAAGAAAATGAAATATTTAAATAAAAAAGGATTGTAATAAATAATTTTTATTTTTTAAAAATGTTATGTCCTTTGAGGAAAACATTTACCAAGAACATGAGTGATTTCTTGTTGTCTTCAGCCTAGTCTTGAATAGATGTTTTCTTTCCCTTGAAAAAGGGGTGGGTTCCCACCAAAGGCTATAGAACTCATTCTACCAAGCTATTTAACCCATTGCTGAGGGTTGGGAGGGGGGTAGAAGTTACTGATTCTTTCATTTTAATGGTCATCAATGCGAAAGTGACCGCAACAGATTTCATAGATTTCTAAACATTCAATTTTGTGCCTTGTAGCTAAGAATTATTAAATTTGATTAATTGCCATTTAGAAAAAATTAAATTGGATTTTATATCAAATTATATGTCAATTAAATTATATATAAATTAAATTGGATTATATATCAAAATCTGACCTTTATGTGGTGTTAAAAAGAGATATTGAACAATTTCGACGTGAAAATATTTGTTAAATTATATAAAAAAATAAATAAATAAAAATAAAGCGAGATAATTAACCTTTAACATTCTGGAGATGATATTGTTTGAAAAGCAAAAAAAAAAAAATTATTCTGCTATCGCGAGTAACTCAGATGAATGAATAATAGCGTGTTTGAATTTAGCAGTTGTGTTCTCATATCCTGCTATGGCAACAGAAAATGACCAGGACTGAAATGAAGTAGTGTAGTAGAGGAGCCTTGAAAAAACAATGGAAAGGAAAGTTAGTGAATAATTCAGTGTGTTAAAGGTTAGATAAATAAATTCCTAAATACTCCCGTCTTACGGCCAGATTATGTTAAAACATTGGTTTCCGTACGATCCCTGAAGTTAAGCAACGTCGAGCCTGATCAGTACCTAGATAGGTGACCGATTGGGAAATGTGCGGTGGTGTAATGAATAATCGTTCGGATTGTTAATCGGAGAGTTGAGTTCTAATTCCCATTGAGTTTGTTATATTCATTTATGCGTAAATACCCTTGGGGAATGTATGAAAATGCGGTTAATTTAGTTCGCCAGTCGTTTGCGATAACTGAAATTGATTAAGGTGCTCGATTTCTAGCAACAGACCTCTTCCTTATTCTCTCGTTCTCCTCCGGCCGTACGACGTCAAGACAGCCAGCCAAAGTTCTCCCCACCCCACCCTATATAGACTCGCCATTTTTAACACCCCCTCGGTGTGAGGGGGGACTAATGTTTGCACACGGGACTTAATTCTCGTTCGCACGAGACTTCCTATTTTATAAATTCAAACTGGTTTGAATTCTTAGTTTTTTTTCATTGTACGTCTGCCCGCGAGATAGAAATTTCGGAATAATCCATTTCACTTTTAATGGCAGTCACGATCTTTCAACAAAATCAGACACGCCAAGCAAATTCACTTTTGTGGGAGGGTGAGTCTTCTTGTTCCTTACAGTTCCAATTCCCATTGAGTTCGTTATATACATGTAAATACCCTTGGGAAAAATGTATGAATCCAGATCTTCTCCCTCCCAGCTATGGGCCAATTAGTAAAATCTCTATCACTGAACCATTAATAAATAAACAAACACCTTACAATCTAAAAATATTTTCTGACTTTAAATAACCTACAAAGGGTTGATAAGCCGTAAAAAACGAATCACTCAAAACCTAAGTACACTTCCCTGTTTTTTGAACAGGAGTAGAGGTTTATCTCTTGTTTCTTGTTTAGGATTGGGTTTCTGGCTTCTTTTAACGTCTTCTCATTCTCTTTAACTCCCTGTAGCACCTTGCGTCTTAGTGACATTATCCTGTTTTTTGGGTGAGCTGATTAAAAAAAAAGTACATGTTTTAATTACGTAAACAAAGGTAGTTTGAAAAAACTAATGGAAGTTGTTGATATAAGCAGAAGTTAAATATGACGACAATAGATTCTCCTGTCGTATTTGACGTCTGGGGTCAAACAGCTCAGTTCCTAGGAACCGACAGCCTAGACACCAGCACATATGATTGGATTATTATTATGGTAAAGGTTTTGTGTAGAACAACCACAATTTTTCAAGACCTACAAGAATAAAGAGACATACAGAGACCTTTTTTTTCCGAATACAGAGACCTATGTGCCACAAGGTCTCCCAACAACCTTCCGCAGGTTTTGAATTCAGAGTTGTCCTTCTAGACTAGTTGCCGTTCAAGGCTATAACGTATTAGCGTGTAATAGATACGACTGGAATTTGAACTCAGCTCTCCGATTCCTTAATCTGAGCCGCTATCCACTACCCCACCCTCCATATATTAGTGACTATGCATCTGACTCGGAGTTTCATGCAAATGGGCAATCTTCAGGTACTGAATACGATCTGACCGTTATGAGATTCGCGTTCTCGTGGTGGTGATTTAAAATTTATGTGTTAAGACATGTTTATTTAATTATTGTTGTCGAAAAATATTATAACTAATTATTTATATTATAATTAATTATTTATAATTTATATCCTTCAAATTCTTAAGTTCAAAGACGAAGAATTAAAAAAATTATTTTAAATAATGTTTGAAATTAAATGTGTCAAGGGGGATAACTCTCTTGCATAAAATACCATAATTATAACATTTAAAAGTTCTCTGTAATAAAATAACCTAGTACGCTCGGTGTTAATATATATATATAGGTCGAGACTATATATCTAATGCGTTTGGAACCTAGCCTTATACTTACAAAAGTGGAATTACATATACACGTTATAAATTAATCGAGTACGGTAATATTGGATTATATATGTTTATAAATATATATAAAATGTTATTAACGATGGGTTCCATGAATATTAATAGGTGTTACATATTATATTAATATTTGTAAAATCTAATTTGAAATCTATTTTAATTGGAGTTAATATGCTTGAGCACCTGCGTGATTTTATGGATACGTGTAGACATTAATTCTGTTATTATGTTCAGCAAGGGTTAGGGTTACTTAAGTGTTTTAATATAATAAGCTTCTCAAGTTACATCTGTCTCCTTTTACATTTGTGATTTAACTTTCGCGATTATCTCCCAACTAATGTTTTGGTTCTTACAGTTGTTTTTTTAATCGCCAAATATATTTTGAAAATGTTGTGAAGTTTTTTTATATTTAATATGGCTCAGTGTCATTTTGTGGTGGTAAAACGCGATTTTGTTCTCGGATGGGTCCAAAGTAATATTTCACACATCGCCTGAATTGATCCGAGCTCTGTAGATTATGCCTTTAGCCAATCACTAGCCATTTGATTGTGAAGATTCTTGCATGTTTAAGTGGACATCGGATGGTAATATATATATATGTATTCGTAATTGTATATTGTTGTCTGTCTAGTGGGATTTCTAATGTCTTCATCTTTGTACGGTCAAGCCAGCGCAGCGGTTGTCACATCATTCTATTTATGGGAGATCTTTTAAATTTTTTCCTCTTTAAGAATGGTTTCAAAGAAAGATGGCGATGCAATGTAATATTTTAGGCACGTGTTTACAGTTGGTAATAATGTTAAGTTTTCAGTGTATTTTTTCTTAGGAACCATCAATACAACATTATATCAATCACACTGGTGACAAAATGTAAATATTGAAAACCTGATTATGGCAAGCTTAGACACACACACACACACACACACACACACACACACACACACACACATATATATATATATATAGTACAGGTAATAAATCCGTTGATATATAATACAAATGGATACTAATAATATAAAATATTAAAATTGTTCCACAATAAAGAGCACAATAAATTATTATTATATCAGAGCATATAAATTACACAACAAAAGTTTTTTACATTATATGTGAGGGGGTATAAATCTATTTCAACCAACGACAAGTACGTTAAACTTATTCAACCCCGGTGTATAGACTGTGTTTGTGTCAGGAATTGACTGCTCTCAAAGTTAAATTTTAAATTTCTAATTCTGGCAGAAACACATTCTATACAGCGAGGTTGAATAAGACTAGCGTATTTCTCGCTAATTGAAATTGATACCATATGAGGTAATTTAGGATTTTGTTGTGTAATATATCTATATCTATTTTCTCTCTCTCTCTCTCTCTCTCTCTCTCTATATATATATATATATATATATATATATATATATATATATATATATATATATATATATATATATATATATATATATTTTGATACAAAAAATCTAGATTTACTTAGCAAGAATAATAAACTGAATAATATACTAAAAACAACCAAAATAATTAAAAGCAAACGCCAATCTAGAAACCTAAAACACATACGAACCTCATCTAAATTTAACCAACACACAATACAGGGAGTCACAAAATGCAACAAAAAAAGATGTGTGGTTTGTGACATCATTATAGAAGGAAATTCCTACACTTTTGAAAACCCCAAAAAAACATTCACAATAAATAAAAACTTAAACTGCAACTCCAAAAATGTAATTTATGTACTTAAATGCACAAAATGTAAGAAGTCATATGTAGGCATCAGCCAACAACTGAACAACAGGGTCTCCCTACACAAAAGCAATATAAAATTGACAGACAACAGAAAACTTTTTGTATCACAACACATTTTCAAATGTAACCAGGGTAAATTTAATATCATGCCGATATATCAAATAGACAATTACTCGTACCTACAAATACAGGAAAAAAACTTTATAAACAAATTTAAACCCGAACTAAATAGATCATAACCCCACACACAACATGTACACAGGGTGAACAAATACAATGATCAAATCACTCACATACATGAACTCACACTCATATACGGGAGACACGAGGATATATATATATGTATGTATGTATGCATTTATATATGTATATGCGGATTTTGACAAAACAAGGGAACTACCCACGAGCACACATCCAAACCCCGCACAACTTAAGAAGTACATGTGTGTATGTGCGCGCGTGTGTGTGTGTATACTGGTTCCATGTAGCTTGGGAAGTGTGTGTGTGTGTGTGTGTGTGTAGTGATTCCTTGTGGTGGGATAGTGTGTATGTGCGTATGTGTGTGTATGCGTGTATATGTACAAATGAGTTTACTAATTCCTCGTAGTAAGACAGTATATGTATGGAGGGGAAATATACGCACGCATATATACACGCATGCTGACAGAAACGCACCAAAATGGAAACAGATTCAAGAACACATAGGGGTCAGTAAAACATTAAAAGATAAAATGCCGATAACTAATTTATCATTTCGCTGGACTAACCTTAATTGTTTTATGACCCTTCGCGCAGAACTCTTCATTGCCAATTCAAGAGAGAAATTCAGATTACCAACACACAAACAGAAAATGTCTCACATCGAGAATATTTAACATTGAACATAAGGAAAAAGTTGATTATTTTTAAAAATATGTGGAAATCTCCGCTTTTACCTGAAGACGGTCGCGAGACCAGAAACACGTGTCGTAAAATTATATAAAACAAAGCATAATATTTTTTTCTAAATAAATCCACATTACACCGACTGAATACATCGTCTTTAAATACTGCTGAATCGCCCATTGACCGAAACAAATTTACTGTCACCGCTTGGCCATTAACAAGACAATCCAGTCTCTCTTAGGAGCGGACATGCGTCAACTACAAATGGAAGTCAGTCGCTTGCCGTTTGCTAGTCAACTCCTTCAACTATTTCCTCTCAACCCGCCTTTCGTCAGAGAGTCATGAAAACACGATACATCGGATGTCATTATCAACAGAGGATGTTGACATGAAGAGTTTTGCTCGGTGCTATTTTTCGGACAGAGTTATGTCTTCAGGGCGTTAGTATTGCCAAATTTGATTCTCGTTTTGACTATTCTATCGTCCTTGTCGGATGGGGGGATGTTGTTGTCTCGTCGAATCGAATATTGTTGTCGCTTTCAGTGGTATCGAAATTTCGGAAGGTAACTT